GTTTTTTTTCTTCTTCTTATTACTAGACGGGACTATCTCAATAACACAACAGTTATATAATAGTATGACAATAGATAAAAACAAAAAAAGAAAAAAAAACACGAACTATAAAAACACACATTTCACAATCATGTACAAAAATGAACAATTATGGACGGATGAATACATCTATTGTAAATCTGGATAATATGGTGCAATCATTTGTTGAAGTTGATCTAAAAATAAAAACAATATAAATAATAACTTAATAGATATAAAAATAAAAAGAATATTATTGTACAATAATATGACATTCGTCGACATTGTTGTAGACTTTTGAGCATATCAATGAGTATTTGATGTAAATTATTCTGACGTGTTTTAGCAACAATATCCAAAATCTAAAACATAAAAATTAATGTACTTTTCTTTTCAAATAACAAAATATATATATTTATGATTATTTAACTTACATATGAAAATTTTTCTCTTAATGATATATTTTCACGTGAAATCATATCAATATCATTTTCATTAACATCAAGTTCTCGTGCAAGAATTTTCCATTTATCAAGAAGATTTTCAATAAAAAAATGTTTTATTATATCAAAATTCATTGATGAACTATCATGTTGATGATCAATATTATTATTCATTATTGTTATTGTTTCTTTTCTATTTATATCATTTCGATTATGAATAGCTAATCAAAAAAAATAAAATAAAATAAAATTGAAACTAAAAAAGAGATCAAAAATAACAATAACATTAACTTACAATAATCAAGTGGTGCCATTGGATTTCCAGTTAAACCTTAATAAAATAACAAAAAAAAAAAAAAAAAAAAAATCTTCCTTCCCTCAAAAAAACCAAAAGTCAAATAAAATTTTATACCAGGAAAAAAATAAAATGCTTTTTTTGTAAATGATGATTTATATTCTGCTGTTTGTTTTTTTCCTTTATTTGTTACTTCACGTGATACACAACCATTAACCATATTAAGCATTGAACAAAGATCTGTATCTTTAGCATATCGAGCTAATATATCAACAAGAGCATTCATATACCAACTACCAACATGTGGTTTTCGAAATGCAGTAAAACCTATATTTAAATTTATTATTATTGAATAAATCAACAATTAAACAAAAAAGAAAACACAATACCTTTTTGTGAAGGAAATGCTATAAGCATATCAGTCATTGTAGGTAAATGATGTCGTTGCATACTATCACATTCATCATTATCATCAAAAACTAGATCATCAAATGATGTATTTGATGGTATTTGAACATGACAACCAGCATCATCAACTGGACCTATTCCAGGATCTTTAAGACAAAAAAAACAAAAAGAAAAGTTGTTAATGTAATCTCTGTGGGATTAAAATGTGAAATACGACGTAAGTGCTGTTATTAATCACAGTGAGATTGTTTTATTCTATCTATCTTGGAACACATTTCTTCACTATCGTTTTACTTAATCCTCTAGAAATACAATAAGAAAAATAGTTCATCTATTATTACGAGATGAGTTTGATTTACGATCTTTCATCGTATATCACGATCTGTCATATAAGAAAAAGCGATGGAAAGTATTACTAAGACATCTATCAGTATATGTTATGAACTGTTTCTAACATGTCTGTTATGACTATGGGAGGTCGAAATTTCTATTTTTATACTTCAATATTTCTTTTACATCGTGTTTCACAAAAAATATATTTCCTTTATTCTTAATCTATTAAAATAAAATCTATTTACCATCACGACAACATTGAATAAAAAAAAGTTTAGGTTTTCCGGCTAAATTTGGACAATTTACATTACTAAATAGATCAAATACATGATCATGATAAATCTATAAGGAAAATATATATATAAATCATTTATATCTATGTCAATAACAAACTTTTCTTCCATCTTGTACTGTTAATGAACCTTCTTCTCCATGACTCATCAAACAAATAATACAACATTGTGCATTGACATGTTCTTTTGATTGAGAAAATTGTTTAAGAATTTTCATAAAATTCTATAATATTAAACAAATACAAAAAAAATAAGAAGGTAAGTACAATTGAACCTCTGCTCCAAGATCATCTCCATTATAATCAGAATAAACAATTACATTAAAATATAATTGACGAAAAAGATCACTTAATAATTTGACATCTAAATCCGACCAACGACGTATAGCTCCATTTATATTATATACATTTATAATTAAACATTGACCACGAGGATTTTTAAACATTGGATATGCCTTTTAATTATAAAAATTAATTTATATTTTATTTTTCTTCAAAAAAAAAAAAAAAATTCGAAAAATATTATCTTAAATTCTTACATCATTAAAATTTTTTGCAAGAAATTCTTTTGTACATGATTTAACATTAATTTCTACTGTAGTATTTTGTATACGTGATGATGAAACAACAGTTGTTGCTGTTGTTGTTAAATATTTTTGTATAACTGATACTGTTGCATTTGTATCACTACTATAACAACTTTTTTGAGATGAAATATTATCATATTCATGTTGAGTTAACATTTCATCTAGAAAAACAACAACAACAACATACTAATAAATGGAATGTTATTAATTAAATATATACATTTAAAAAAAGCAACAAAATATCTGACAGCAAAACATTATATTAAAATGCATATACAAAAAAAAATCAATAAATTGAAATGAAATATCTGATGAAAACTACTACATTAAATGTATCTACAGAAAAAAAGAAACATCTTTTTTTTTTTGTTGCATTAAGGATTTGGATTAAATATTGGACGCGGTTGATAAAGTACACTTGTACTATTATTATCTGAATCATAACCAGTATTTGTACCATTTGATGGTGAACCACGCATACCCGTATATGGATGACGTATTAAATTATTTTTTATTGGATGTTTTAATACATTACTATTCATTGAACGAAATGATGCCATAGATTGTGAATGTAAAATACGTTTTTTATCATCAGCTTCATCACGTAATTGAATATATTCTTTATAATTATTTTGAAATACAATTAACATATAAATACCAATAAATATTCCAAATAAACCCATAAAAATATTTTCCCAAAAACCTCGTCGATACCAATATTTCATTAATGAACCACATCCACGTATATTAACAATATTTGAATCAGGATTAATTAACATATTTTTACCACAACCATAAACTGCTTGATGCTAATAAATTACAAAATTTAATTAAATAATTAAAAATAGAAAAATACAAACTTTACGACAACATGTATCTGGTAAATCTGTTTTATATGTAGTTGCATAATCAAGATATGAATTCCAACCACAACATTGAAAATCTCTTTGACGTCTAAATGAAAATTAATAAAAAAAACTTTTGTTTTTTTATAAAATCAAAAAAAAGTTCAACTCTTTCTCTTACTGATTAACAAAAGCAGTTAATATAAAAACACGTGGTGGTACACGACCCGTTGTAACCAAATCAAATGATTGTTCACGATATTTTAATTCTTTAAATGCATTACCACGAAAACGAAGTCGTTCAAGTAAAAATGTTTCTTTTGTTAAAAATCCAGCATTCATATTTATCATTGTTACAGCAAACCAACATAAACCACCAATAATTGTTACTGTAGCTAAACAAAATAATGAATAAGGAACATATTCCATAAGAAAAATATTTCGTCGACGATAACCATGAATTTGTAATGCAATAACTAAAAAAAGAAACGAACTTTTCATAAACAAATTCTTGTGAAATATATATATACAACATACTAATAAAAAGAACAAAACCATATATGTAAATAAATGAAAGATAAACACGAGTGATAGTCAAACGATCCCAATAATAGATAAAAAAATTAAATTCAACCTAAAATAGAATTAATTATATATATATATATATAGATTTTTCTTTTTGGTAAATGAATGAATTTTACCCAAGCCATAGTATAATCAGTCCAAATAGTCCATTCTTCGAAGAAGCCCCAATAAATAGACATAGAAATGATAATAAAGATAGCAAGAGCTAATAATAAACCATTAATACTCATGAGAAAACGAAATTTACTCTAAGAAAATATAGAAAATATTTTTGAAGTAAGAAAAAGAAAACTATATAAAATTTTTATTGTATACTCGTTGTCGTTGTCCATATGTAGCAACCATGTTTAATTGTGATTCTAATCTAAATAAGAACTATTACAAGGTCATAATCTCCCAAAGGACTAGCTGTCGATCTTGACAGTTAACAACCGAAGAAAAGAAAAAAATCGTAAATGTTCCCGTAACTGAAGAAAAGTCTATGCTGACTAATGTTCAAATAATTTTGTTTACTTGTTTATTCATTGCGTATTTTTATTGCTTTTTTTTTTGTTGATTTTCAAAACGAAATATCTTAGGTGAAAAATTTTAATGAAAAATATTTCTTGAAAATAGTTTGATATATATAGTTTAATGCTATTTTGTATTAAATATTGATTACATTAGAAATTGAATTGAATACTGGTGTCATCTACCGTACAAGCTCACATACATATTTTGTTCTATTTAATATTTATAGCTAATATAGCAGCAATGCATGTGCATGTTGACGAAATACAAGTAACTTAATCGGAAGGAAGGAAATTATATTATTGCAATACTAAACAGATATAGCAGAAAGTCATAGACATATTTAAGTTAAATAAATATATCAGTGATTTGATTTTTTTTATGATGTTGACGTTCAACCATATTTCAATGGAAATAATTATTGAACCTCGAATGTTTGTTTTTTTTTGACAATTCAGTTTATTGAATATTATATTGTTTAGTTTCTAATACATTTAATTATGTTCAATAGATATGAAAGATTAAATTTTTCGTTCATAGTTTTCAAACAATTATTTTATCATATTTATTGATCATATATTTAGATACATTTGTAACCATGAGAATAACATCTTATAAAAAAGATATAAAAAAAAACCCTCAGCTACAAAAAAAAGAATATAAAAGATAAATATAAAACTTGTATCATTTGTAAACTATCAAATATTCTCCATAAGCTTGAGCATCATGATAAGTTACGAAAACATTTTCTCCACCTGTCGTATCAAAACCTGGAGGACAAATACGCGTTGATGAACTTCCTCCAGTTGTTCTTCCAATTAACACACGAGCTGAAAAGAAAACGGAAATCAATCAAATCAATGTTTATGTTTAGATTATTAAAAATCACAAAGTACAAATTTATACATTATTTCAGCTTTTTCTCAATTGTAAAAGAATTCAATCAAACAAGATCTTCAACTTATAATTGTATATTCTTTTTTTAAAATATTACTCTTCTTTTTATATTAATGTGTATTGTATCATTTTAAAATAAAATTGAAATTATAATTTATGATTAATTAGTTTCTCAAAGAGACACAAAATTTGAATGAAAAATAATAATCTCACCCATAAACATATGTCTCAATCTATTTGCATCGGGCTGAGTATAACCGTGACTGATCATAGCTTGTGTTGCAAAATAAATTCCTTGGCCAACAGCTATGTAAATGAATCGAAAAGAAAATATACTTCTTTTTAAGTTTAGTTTTTCTTTCATGAATGAACAAAGTATTTACCACAATTAACAGCATGACTACGATTGAAACAATCACGAATAATTGCTTCAGCTGATTCTGATTTACGACATCCTAACATTATTGAAAGTTAAAAACAAAACAATTAGAAACAATGAAGAATAAATATAATTTACCATGAAATAACCATCTTTCAGTACTTTGACCATATCGTTCAATAAAATCTTCTTTATGAGCATCATATTGACGATACCAACCTATAAAATCCATACAAAAAGAAAGAATGATTTACTAAAAAGTATGCACAAATAAACAACTACATAAGAAAATGAATCACTGATCTTTTTATACATTATCTATATACTTTAGTATATTATTCTAATGAATATTATTTATAATTTCATTCGTTAGTTTTTATTCAACATCAATTGTAGAATGTTGAAAAAGTTTAGAGTAAAAACTATCTATTTCTTATTTTGATATTTGAATATCATAATTGTTTTCGTACTTAGCAAAGTACATTTAAAAAGAAAAAAGAATTTTAGAGATAAATAAATCATTTATACTTACGTCGATTTTGAATTCGTTCAATTTGAATAATATGATTCGATGGTAATGTCTTGTGGAACTTATTTGCAACAAATTTATATTCTTCTGTTGTATGATCAAGAATATAACGAGTAAGATTATCTAATGATGAAAGATCCCAATGTTTTGGAAAAGTATGGATGACACCAAATACTTCATCATGTAGAGCATTCTATTTATGTATGAAAAAAAAAAAGAATGACCAAAATGAACTTATCTATATTTGTTGAAAAATTAAACAAAAAGTTAACGTCTATTTACCGGTTGAAAAGTTGATGATGTTTCCTTACGTCGACATCTTTTCTTAAAAAGAAAACAAAAAAATGATATTCTAGTTAATCATAGACTTAATTAAAGATAAAGAAAAGCACAGACCTGATGTGATTCAATTCTTTGTATAGAATAACATTTATTACAATACTCGCAGGGAATACTTTCATTCGATGAATCAACTACTATATGTCTTCAAATAAAAATTATGATTAATAATACAGAATATATGAAATATTTCTTCTACTTAGTCAAATCTCCAAGTATTTGTCGTTCAGCTGCAGTACATCCGTTCTATATAGGAAAGTAAAACTAAACATATCTTTAGTTTTTAAAATAACAAATTACATAAAAATGTAAAATTTCTCTATAAACTATTCATATATTTTTTTTATTAGTCTAAACCTCTGAAACAACAGATCATAATCTAAGTAAGATTAAGCAATTAAATACATCTCTGTCATTTATTGCTCAATTTAATGAGAAGATATCACCAATTGTTCATCAACCGTATGAACTATATATTTTCTATACATTAATAATATAGAAAAAAAATCAAATAAGACATTGTGTTGTTTAGCAGTTGGAACATTAACTGCTGTCATTTATAATCTCTGGTCGAAATATATTATTCAAAGAGTTGTATTTTCTCCTTCTAGGTTTCACAATTGCCCTATCTATTCATTTCTTCGCACTATTTTGCAAAACTGATGATAAAAAAATTAGCAATTAATCATAACTGTTGAAAAGAAGAACTATAACAAACAGTCATATTGATTGATCATTAGTTTTCGACGAATCTCAGTAAGATAGAAAAACAAAGCAAAGCACACACTAATTTATTTTACCACATGCAATTCCCATTCCACGATGCTGACTTGAGCATTACAGTATTCGCATGAAATAAAGTCAGTTTCATTGCTATAATCATATAAAAAATCAAACATAACTAATCCAACCGGGAACATATTTTACTTCTGTAATATTTGACGTTGACGCTGATATTCATCATCACATTGTCTCTGAAATGTGTTAGAAATACAGAAGTATTTATACTGACAAGAATAGACGATGTTTTATATACTGTATGCCATTCAAGATCCTGTACACTGATTTGTTTATTGCAGTATTCACATGGAACTAAAATATTAATTGGCTCATTGTCAATACCACTAAATATGAAAACATAAATAAAATATTTATAAACGATTGACATTATACTTTTTTAAATTTTCAATTCGACGTCTATGTGCATCAGCACATTGTTCCTATGATTTGGTTAAAATAATTATATGTATATTATGTATTGTTTTCTTACTGCATGAGAGTTCCAATCATTTACATTAATTTGATCATTACAGAATTCACAGGGAATTTTTTCATTGTCTAATTCATCATTCACAGATTTTCTAAAAAGAAGCTATAGTAATGAAAAATTTTTAATTGTTTCTTTACTGTCTTCGACGTCTTCTGCGATTTTTTTTAACAACACGACAATTTTTCTATAATGTGTTGAATAAAAACGAAAATCGAAGTTAGGAAAAACATATATTGATGACTCACGGAATGTTCAGTCCAGTTGTCAGTATTAATCAGAGTATTACAATGTTGACAGAGTATTGTTTCTTCTACAGCTTCAGCCATTCGTAGCTTGATTTATATAAAACAATTAGTCAAAGCTTATTAAGTTTTAGTAAGCTTTTATTTTAAATCAAATAGTTTATCACAATCTCAAAAAAATAAAGCATTCGTCTAGTTTAGACAAATAATTAAACCCGCCTATCAAAATCTATGATGTGGTTAGGTTTTTGTTTCGTTTCTACAATAAACATTTAAATAACATGATGAAATTTTTCACATGTATTGGTAAGAAAAGAAAAACATGTTGCATACAATGACATTCTACCAAACCATAAAGAGGAAGTGACGCTTTCGAGGCAAAATGAACATACAAATAAACTAGGACAAAAACTTTTATTATAATATTAAAATCAGGCAAAACGAAAATTTTTATGAATAATTGTGAATTCTTTTTGCTTCTAACTAAATATGCGAAGTCGTGAAGAAATATAAAATACAAACTTTATCTGTAATGTTTTTGATGTTATTCATGATAAAATATTGTTTATTGCTGAATACGATGCTTTTTTTATTTAAGCAAATATAGATAAAAAGAAGCTCATTCTTGTTCTTGTGATGAAGTTGACTAAAAATTTTTTTCTATATGCTAATCCATAAAATATAATTCAACTTAGCGCTAACAGAAACATATCAATTTTAGAATTCAAAATGTATTTTATCAGTCCATGAAGTTTTTTCTGAATATATCAGAATGAATAATTTGAGACTATTATTTTAAAAAAATTTAATTCAATAATTTATTAAGATGTCATTGTCTAGAAATTGAATACTTTATTAGAATAAAAATTATGCAGCTTGTACAAACTTCATCAGACATGACTTTATATAGCAATACTTTTTTTTTTGTTATTCCTACAAAAAAGAAGCACATCACACACACAAAAAAAAAAAGAAAACAATCGTCGGAAGAAAAATAGTAAAATATGCACGTTTTTTGTTTGAGACATATTGTATTCTTTTATACACATATATTGCCATTGGTTTCAAGACGTCAGAAGAAACAGAAATTTTATAAGATGATATCAAAATATTATATTAGTCTTGTTAAAGTGAACTGGAAAATTATGTAATAGTAATGAGAATATTTAAATCAATAAAATCAAACATTAAAAAAAAAGAGCAACAAAAAATCCAAGTCAGCAAAGTTTACATGAGTCACTACTTGTGAGTAATAATGTTTATCTAAAGTTATATATAATTACATAAATCAAAGTTAATCGAATATGTTCAAAAATAAAAATAAATTCATGTTAATGAAATTTTTCATAAAATGCATAAAGTATTGCTGAAATCGAAATAAAGTCATTGGTTTAGATAACATGCATTGATTGTTAATTTCAATTGACTAAAAACATTAGAATAATCTTTTGTAATACCCACGAACTTGACATTCGTGAAAAACTTTAAAATAAATCAAATCGTTAAAATCCTATTGCAAGTCATATTATATATCATAGAACTCACTTATAGTTTCGAAGAAAATAGTGATTGTAAGTTTTAATTCGAAATTTTGCAAATCCTCCTATGACAATCCTTAGATAACAAGGACAGTAATCGTTAGACTTTTTCCTATGGTTCATTAACGACGGATAGGGCACTGGACGACATTAATGATAAGACTTAGAATGTTCTAGAGAATTTCATATCATTTCAAAATTTTCCTTCAAATTTGGACGGCTTGAATACATTCATGAATGGATTTCTGATATTTGCGAAAAAGAAAATTTACAATCAAGATCTAAACGATGATAGGTAGCAATGCATTGATTTATCTTAGTTAGCGTATGATAAACATTATAAGCATGAAATGATCAAGTTATAACTTTCGAACATAATCATTATCAGTGTTTGTAAGTTTCCCTATAATATATAATAGTGCGTTAAGATCTGCTGTAGATACAATGGATACGTACGACAGGCTTTTTTGCCAGTTAACCCTTTGAGAACGGTGGGACGTATTTGTTCCACCTATTTTTCAGTATAGAAAATGTTTGCTTTACATTAAACTGTTACAATCTTTAAGGCAAATAGGTCGTCTATCTCCCATCTCATGCAGATCTTTTCTCTCTTTCTTCCTGTCATATAGATCCCTCTCAGATGTCCTTCTTTCTTTCTGCTACTGCATACTGACGCATGGTTTCTCTCTCTCTTCTCTTGATGCATTATCATCAGGTTTTTATCTGATCATTTGAAGCCAAATACAACAGATGGATTGAAGAACCATGTTTCGATTGAAAAACAATTCCGTCCCCAAAGGGTTAAATCAATAGTTATACTAATAATAACAGTATTAAATTATGAAAAGAGACATACGAAAATGAAAAATAACGAGCAAGTTGTAACCAGACAAACAAAAATTAAAACACCAATAAAAAGTAGAAACAACTCCTGTTCGAAATGCAGAATTAAATAAGACGGATCGCTTCTCTCGCGAATAATTATCTTGAAAAATAACTATAGTCATCAAGAGATTTTTCATTTTACGCAATAACTGCTAGTATAATAAGACAAAAGTACACATGCAAGTTTCACATTTCAGTTCTGAAGCGACTGCATTAATAACCTTTTTCCAGTTACATTTTCTTTCGTTGAAAAGTTCTCTAATCTATTTTTTGTATACCTTTTAATATATAGGGTATTAAATAGATATTTTTCGAAAACAAAACTAACTTTTCAATTGTTAGTTTAGCTAACATCAATTATAATTATGAAAGAATATCCCAAATTAAATTGTCATTCTTTGACACACATAATGTCTAAATACATGTTTATTTCCTATTTAGTTCTTGTCAACAAAAATAACAAGTTATTAGAATAAGTCTAATCAATCAAATTATTGAAATATTCATGAAATTGCCTTGAGTTAATGAAATGCCCTAATTCATCAATGTGACTAGTTATAAAAATCAATATACATAAGAAAATAAATGTTTTAAGTTGTAATTTTTCTTTCTTTTGAGTAGAAATGAAGACAGAGTATATAGATCAATTAATAAGCAATAAGAGAATGAATGAACAACAAAATAGAGACACAAATACACACAGAAATATATTTATATATAGAGGATACTGTTCACGATAATCGAGTATTGTCTAGATTAATGGTTGCCAATGGACTTCGACGTATTATTGTTGAATTTTCATTTGTTTGTGTTCGTGGAGATTCATGTATTAATTGATTCAATAGATTTGTTGCATGTGGAGAAGATGGAGGTGACGATGTTGATGATAGAAGAGAATTTTTCATAGATGATGCCAATTTATTTAAACATTCACTCCATTGATCATGTGAAAGAAGTTGTTGTAATTGTCGAATATAAGCAATAACAATTTCAATAAACTCCAATTCCGAAAGACATTCATCTTTTGGTATTGTTGGTACAAGTGAAGCTAATTTTTTGAATTCTTGCCCTAATTCATAATAATTATCATCTGTATTTGTAAAAGTAGTCGATGTCATGATATAATAATCTATAATAGAAAAATAAAGAACATAGATAAGTTAATGACCGTCGATCATCTTCTATTCTACTCAAGTTACAACAACATTCAATAGAGCTCGTCCGTCTATCTATCTATCTATCTGTTTGTCTGTCGATATGCATATATTGAAGAAGAAAAGAAACATACACACACACACTATACTATCTAATCTGTCATTATTATTCTTCTTTCTATATAAGACTATTTCCAGTGTAAGTATACATTTGTCTTACGCCAAACACTCAATATACAAAGAACAACAATGAGCATGATACATTAATAGAAATCATTTTTTCTTTTAAGATAGTCAACTGACGCCGAATCTATATGAGGTGTTCATTTCACTTCAAACAAATATATTTTCAATTATATGACGCGACGTATATATATATATATGTATATATATATAGATGTATTTGTTTTAGGATTAGTCGCACCATGTGACAAAATCCAATTTTTTTCCTCTTTGAACATCATCATCATCATCGTCGACGTCTCTTCTTCAGAGCGTCATCTGTTTCTATGCAGCTGCAAAATCTTTAATGAATAAACATGCGATTGATGCAGATGTTACAAGAGGAAGAGAAAAAAAAATGAATGGACAGGTATCTGGTCTGTTGTCTATCTTACGCGTGCACAAATACATATAGTAGCAGCTGCACAAAAGGTTAGCGCGTATCAATCAAACAAAACGATTTGCTTTACTTAACTATCAACGATAGCTATGCTTACATACATACATATATAGAAAAAGGTTAGAGATGGTAGCTTTGTGATGGTCAAAACCGACAACTCCATCAATCATATTTTCACTTGTACAAAGAAAAAAAAAACTATGTAAAGGTTTTATTTTAATTTTTTAATTTTTTTTTGTTCGTGACTATTCTCCCTTGTTCACAAAGATAAGAAATAGAAAAGTAGAAGTAGAAGCTATTTGTAAAAAAAAAAAAAGACATCTGTTTTCGAAGATGAACTTAAAGATGAAGAAGGCACACCATACGTTAAAAATTAGCGTAGCTAAAGCGGCAAACAGAGAGAAGAGAATATAGAACATATGTTTTTTATTTTTACGAAGGGACCATTTGGTTCTCTTTGGGGAGTTAGAACAGAAGTTGCACGAGTGTATATTCCCAGTATGAGTAAGGCAAAAGAAAAAATGAAGAGACTGATAGATGGCAAAATCGAATTGATGCTGCTGCTGCTGCTGCTATTGCCAGCTGTTGACGCAAAACGCGCAAAAGAGTTATAAACGGTTTAACGTATGCATGACATATTCGTCTGTCGGCGGCTACGTGTAAAAAGATGTAAAAAGATAAGCTTTAGTCTAGAGTGATTTGAACAGCTGTACACTAGAATTAGATATATCATGCTTATTTAGTTATATATTTGAGTATCTATATAAAACTCCAATAAGAAAAAAAAGTAGTAGTTTTTTTTTATGCGATTCAAACAGTCATATACGAATTAGAATAGTCAATTATTTTTACGACAATTTTCAACAATAATCAACTACTATCTCACACAATAAATTATAGTGTACATATAAAAACTAATACTTACACAATTTTCTAAGAATGTCGCAAGTGAACTGATCGAGTATTGTTGCTTGATCGTCGATGATAGTGGTATATCGTGCACTGAAGGCAAAAGAGATATGTAAACACAAAGCTTCCGTCTGTTGTCTTCTTTTTTTTTCTTTCCTTTCCTAGCTTTTTCTTTTTCTTCTTCTCCTTCTGTCTCTCTCTCTCTCTTTTTCTCTAATGGTTGATTTTTTGATTGGGATGCTGTGAACATTTCTCCTATTTTCTCTTTATTTTTTTTTTTTTATATCCAACATCAACAGAGATTTGATGCTATATTGAAGACCAATTTTCATGCATTCTCTCATCAGGTGTTACCGGTTTCTTGTTCTTTGTTTATATAAAAGTCGTGCAGCGACACAGACATATAAATCGCCTATGGCGTAGTGCACCTGCATTAGACTCTCGACAATAATAAGCAAATGAATGAAATAGATAAGAGAGAAAAAAAAAGAAAAGAATACGTATATCGACATACATTTTTAAATGACAGAAAGATAGCTCCATATGAAGGATTCACACCGAGACGATGATGATGAAAATGGAGAAAGAAAAACGAACAGTTGTCAAACAGGCAGCAAATGTCTATATTTGACGTACATGTGATTGTTGATTTTTCCCGCCGTTAGGTATATATATATATCTAAACACAACACATACTGTTAATCGATTTCTAATTGAATCACACCTTTTCATTTCTATATCAATAAGCTTTAAAAAAAAAGACAAGAATGTTTGTTAATATAAAAGATGTGAACAAAAAATAAAATATTCAAATATTTGGATGCTTCCATTGAGAATAGTACACATTGCTATTTTTTCTATTTAAAAAGAAATGAGATCTATAATGATATACAAACAAAACATGTATTCTGAAATAGATCAACATGTGATATTTCAACAAAATACAATCATACTTACATATATATATATGCAAATAGTTTTATGTTTCAATTGATATTCAATTCTATGCTACATATATATATTACACTAACATTTTGTCGATCATCTTCTATGGAATTTAGTGACACATATGCTCATACTTTAGCCTTTTCAAATGATTGATTTTTTCAAACGTTTCAATCATGTATACAAACAACAAGAAAAAAAAAACGAAGCTATGTTATTGATCGACATATGTCAGAAAGAAAGAAGTAAAAGGTTGTGATTGAAGAATAAACATATAAAATACATAGACAATACAGGATAATTCGAATGTCAAGATAGATATATACTATTAGGAATTATTTGTTTTTCAATGCAGTATTTTCTTATGGATATGATAGAATTTTTGTTTACAAAAAACAATAAGTCAAGCTTCTATAACTCCTCTTTCTATTTAAGACAAGATTATCACTTCATTAAATACGAAAATGAACAATTTTAAGTTAAAGAACAGTTTCTTCAAAAAGTATATTGGAAATAGAATCCATGTATACAAGACTCTTCTAATATTCTAGCTAATTTAATAGAACGCTATGTTCAATTAGCAACTGAACATTTCAGTAACTTCTATTGCATGTCGTTGACAATTCATGCGACAGCTGTACATTTTTAAAATGTTACAAGATAATAAACTTATAAAGAGTCTCTTCATAGATGTAACTATGTGATTATTTTCAGATTTGGTCGACGGAAAACCGTTTTGTAAGTGAAAATAACTAAAATCAACATTTCTGATCATGACCGTAAGGCATTAGTTGAGAAATTCTACAATTCGAATTCATATTTGCAGTCACAATAGTTTCGTTAATTTTATTTCATCGTATAAACGAGAAATGTGCTGTAAGAAAACGGTACAAACCTACATAGGTTAAGAGTGTAGATTAGTGTGAAAATTATAAGATTGATCAAAGTCGTTGAAAAAGAATACGTTGTTGAAAATTGCTGTTAAATAATTAAATGATGTGAACGGTACTAAGAGAATGATCTATTGCACGATGCTTGTTTTCAATTGGTGTTTTTTTTTGAGGTAACAATTCAAAAAGTGTATAACACACGTTATCGAATCACTAAATAAAACATTTTAAACCTGAACAGTTATGAAGATAGAAATAATACATATCAGTGGCTAAGTAGTTTATTATTCACATTTTATTATTCATGATAATGAATTGATGATCTGTATTTAAGCAATAAATTTAACCAAGATTACGAGCATCTAGACAGTATAACGTAGTACTGAACTCATAGATGACAATGAGTAGAATGTAATAATCATATCTTTTACATGAAGATAACATAAAAAGATTCTTTATCAACATAGTTGTAATTCGACTGTCTAAATGAAAACTATAAGACATTATAATCTTTTGTTTAGTTATACTTATTATATAATGTTAATTGATATGAAAAGAAGCAGAACAAATTTTCTTTTTTTTTTCAATTTCAATTGAAAATCAACAATCAAGAAACATTATAAACAGTCAATATCATATGTTGTCGTTGACGTGATGTACTCTTGAGAAGAGAAGATCCAGGTACTTCTTCAAAGATTCATTGTTAATATTTATTTAATGTCAAAAGAAAGAATAACATACTTATTTTCTTTCTCTTATTCTTTAAATAACGGAATCAATGGGTATCAACTCTTGCTAGACGTAACTTTGCTTATTTGTATTTGACGTAAACAATAGTTTTTAATCTACACTAAAAAATTTAATATTTACATGTATGATCTAATTAAATGTCAATAGTTGTAGTTTAAGTCTATTCTCGATTGATCATTGTTTGATTAGAAGTAGTTTAATAAGTGATTGTGTTGAAAATATTCACGTACATTTTCAGTAAGTACTATGTAGTTACAATCATATATAATTGATTAGATTTATGTCGACTTTCATCGCTTACATGAAACAGAGAGTCTTATCAATTGTTGTGAAGTGTATACAAAGAAAAGAAAAATGAAATGATACGCTAATTCAATGGCAATTATAAACATAATTAGATGAAGTAATATAATTTTGTATTGAAGATGAAGATAAGAAAAATATAACTTTACACTCTTGATTTGTTCTTTGACGAATAAGAACTAATGAAGTCTGAAAATAGTATACTTTTGTTAATAGAACTTCAAGATATAAATATAAGAAAATGAATTTCAGTTGCTGAATGATATGAAGATGACAAGTTAGTTTTATTTTGATTATAACCAAGATTCATTCAACTAAAAATCATATCTCTTTTGATGAAAACATCTTTTTTCTTTAGACTCTTATCAGAGACCAAACATAGATTTCGAACATCAAAATATCTGTGGAAAGAAAAAACTAATATTCAAGTGGTTAATATAATATTCGTGTGTTTTTAGGTGTAAGAATGTTGCTATCAAACATTTAATTTGAACGTATTTCTTAATAGTAATGTGATACATTTGACTTTGTTTCTTCGTCAGCTT